TTTTGAGACCGGCCGCACGATGACGGGCCGTCGTTATCTCACGAGGAGCGTCTCCAAGATCATCGACGCGTCCTACGAGCGCGCCGTGTCGCTGCTCACCGAGCACCGCGACAAGCTCACCGCCCTGGCCGAGTCGCTGCTCGAGAAGGAGGTGATCGGCTCGGACGACCTGATCCGCGTGCTCGGCGAGCGGCCCTTTTCAAAGTCGGTCGACTACGATGAGTTTGTCAACGCCTCGTGGAAGCGGAAGCTTGAGACGGCGGACGACGCGGGCGAGGACGCCGGAGGGGGCGGCGGCGGCGGGAGCGGCGGTGGCGGCGGCGAGGAGCTGCCGCCGGCACAGGCGGCCGCGTGAGGAGAGAGGACAGAGCTTTTGGAGGTGCGTTCAAAGGGGCTTTTTGGAGTTGGCCCCGGCGGGAGGGCGGCGCGGCTGTGGTACGGGCGAGGCGCGGGTCGTCGGAGACCGCATGTGACTGTACTGTTGTCGGTGGGCGTGCGCGCGCTGTGGGTGTTGCGGCGGTGTTGCAAGAGCGGGGAACCCGGGCCGGTGGCGAGAGGGGTGGGTGCGCTGACGGCACTGTGCTGTCCCGACCGCTCCCGCGTGAAGCCGGACTCTCACAACACACAGGCGTCAGGCCGCATGTGCGCGGCGCGTGGTGTTGCGCTGATATAATAAGTTGAACGGCACGATACGACTGACGGACACAAGACAGTGGTACATAAATTGACGGGCTCGCGAGAATCACGCGATGCGGGCGAGAGATGTGCGCGTCGCACCGCAGTCCGCACGCACGACGCACCCACTGCTGGAGGGCGAGACCGAGAGAGGCCACGCCGCCCATCGCGGCGCGCGGAACGGCGCACACACCGCCCGAGCGCCGCGGCCGGGAGGCACGTGCGGCGTGGATTGGGGCACGGAAGTTGCCAGCTCGGGAAGAGACCACACGGTTGAGTAGGAGGAGAGGCGCTGAGAGTAGCTAAGTTGATGTCCGCCAGACGCGCTGCGGCGGCGGCCCTCGCCGCCGCGCGCACACAAGTCGGGCGGGGAGAGGGCTCATCGCTCAATGTTGACGTGCAGCTCTGGGGCGCCGCCCTCATACTCGCGCGCAATGTCGTCCACCGTGTTGAGCTTGCTCTTCTTTGGCACGCAGCACGGGCAAAAGGTGGCGCAGTAGAGGTACTTGAAGATGTGCGAGGGCGCCTCAACCACCCAGCTGGCTATCAGGCCGTAGACCGCCTGGAAACCGGCGTCGGCGGCCTTGGGCCTCGTGGCGGCCCAGTAGACGGTGGCGGTCATGAAGAAGACGGTTACCATCTGGCGGCGGGCGAGGAAAAGTTGTGTATGTTCTCATTCGGCGCCGGGCGGTGGGTGGGCAGGCTGGAGGGTGCGTGGCGGGTCCGAGCGCGGCGCGCGCCTCGAGCAGGCACTTCATGTCTGACAGGAAGCCCTGGGCGCACTTGAACATGAAGGTGGCGGGCGTCACGATGAGGATGGTGAGTCCGAGGCTGGCCATCTGGCTCTTCCAGTCGTCGACGCCCACGTACTCTGCCGTCAGCATGCCCGTCGCAATGGCCGCCGTCGTCGTGAAGCCGAAGAGCGCAGCGCGGTCCCGCACCGGCTTGCCTGCGTGCGAGCAAGAGGTGGACTGCCGTGCGCGGAGGAGCGTGCGCGGCTAGGCGGCGGGGTCGCTGCCCTTTTTTTGGAAGAACATGCCGAGGAGCGAGTGGTTCAAGGCAACGTACTCGCAGAGATTGACCTTGTCGTCCTTGCTGCCGCCAAAGACGTACTCGGGGTCGGGCTTGGTCTCCATGGCTGCTGCTGATTGAGGAGCAAAGGGTCGTTGAGGCTTCGAGCGGGATCGCGGGGACGTGCGTGCGCTCGGCCGACGCGACAGAGGACTTTTTCTCGCTCTATTTTTCTGAAGCGTGAAGGTGCGATTTCGGGCCCGGGGTTGTGCGTTTGTGAAGGTGCGGCAACCGGCTCATGATTGAATTCTTTTTTCGTGACCGTCGTGGTTTTGTCTGTTCTCTCAGGCCGGGGCTGTGTGTGTTTTGCCCAAAGCCGGAAAGCAAAAACGAAAAAGTGCTCGCCCCATGCAGCGAGGTACAGCATGCATTGCTCACTGTGAGAGGGGGGGGGGGGGGGTAGGCTTTTGTAGGTGGGCAGGGGCCCTCTCAAAGATCTCTCCAGGAATCTCACGTCACAGCCTTGAAGTGACCTGCGAACGCGCACCCCCCTAGGGGTCAGGGCTCTCTAGCCCGTAGCCCGATGCCGATCATCCGGCCCGCTGGGTACGCTTCTCTTAGCTCCCCGGCCCTGGATGTGAGGTTACCGAGTGCACTCCAAGTGCTCCACAAGTGCTTTGCCTGCGGGGGCAGGGGCGGCTCAGGATCACAGACACCCCTCTCAGGATCACAGCACCGGCGGGGGGGCGCCTCAGGATCAAGCACCCACGGCAGGGTCTGTGGGGATCAGCAGACCTTGAGGGGGCGCGCGCTGAGGATCATAGGCCTGAGAGGGGTGCTGTCAAGATCACAGGGCTGCAAGGGTGGCACTCGAGATCAGAGCGCCAAAATAGGTGCAATACAGATCAGCGGCCGGAAGTGGGCGCAAGAAGGATCATGAGCGCCGGATCGGGTGCAATAAGGATCATGAGCGCCGAACGGGTGCAATAAGGATCATGAGGGTTTTGTGGTCTGTGCGCGGACGGCCCGGGGAGCCTGCTGCGCTATTTTAACCTGCCCCGACAGAGTCTCGATACGGCGCGCGGCGGCGCCGCACCCAGCAAGCTGGGGCCGCTCCTTACGGACTCGTCGCTGCGCTCCTCAAGGCAAACACGGAGCGCGCTGCGCGCGCGGTCTACGCCGAATACTGCGGCCGCCGTCACGACTGCCATCCTCGGCGGCGCCGAGCGCGCGAGCGGCGCCGATGGCCAACCCGGCGCCACCTCCCAGCGACAAGCGCATGAGCGACAGGACGCGCATGAGCGACCCGGTCCAGCGCACGTGATTGCACCAATTTCGGCGCACGTGATCCTTATTGCACGTCTGCTGATCCCCACAGACCCTGCCGTGGGTGCTTGATCCTGAGGCGCCCCCCCGCCGGTGCTGTGATCCTGAGAGGGGTGTCTGAGATCCTGAGAGAGGCTTATCTGTTGCCTGCGCCAGCGCAGCGCTTGTCACGTCTCGTTGCGCGAAAACAATAACAAAGAATTTAAACAAAGAAAGCCCCCAAATCCCCGGCCCTGGGTGTGCGGTTGCCAACTAACTGCACTCCAAGTGCCCCCCGAACTGCAACTGGCGCGCACTGGCACTAACACAGAGGTTCAAAGGTACTTACGCATTCACGCTTCAACGCGGGGGAGCGGGAGCTTGCGCGGTGCCCGCAAGAAAAAGGCGAAGCGAAAAAAGGAAATCGACGCCTTGAGTCGCGTCCGCCTCAGTAATCGTGCTACCCACCAAAAAAAGAATAAAACACGCGGCGTGGCCACTCCAACTGCTCAAGAGCTCTCGCCAGGTCGTGCCGCTCCACCGCTCCACCGCCACTGTCTCGCCAGCCGCTGCCGCTGGCACGCAAAAAAGAAGAAAGTGCGGGAACAAGAAAATAGGCACAGGCCCTGGCGCGCACCACTCCCGTTGTTCTCTTCTCATAAAATCGGAGGGTCGGCCCACGGGGGGACTTCGTGAACTGAAGCGACCCAACGATTTATCGATTTTATGAGTGGCAGCAAAGGGAGTGGGCGCGCACTGGCACTAACACGCGACTCCTGCGAGGAAACGAAACATCTAGTTGAAATTGGAGAGAAGGGAGGACTTTCCTCTTTCTTTCTAAACAACGAAAGACTCGATCTCTCAAAAGACAGCTCATGCGGCTCCGTTGGGCTCTCCCAAGCGCCCCTTCCCCGGTGGGTGTGCGTAGAAAGTGAAGCCGATCGAGAAGTGGCAGAAGCCGCCCTGTGTGACACATATTGCGGCACGTGAGACGTGTGACGAGTGACGTGAGAGTGAGAGTGTGTGAGAGACATATTGGGGTTTGCGGGGAGAGCCCCGGGCCCGGGGCGCGCGCAGCCGGCGCGGGGCGTTTTTTATGCAAACATGCAAACGGGACGGCCTGCGCAGCCTCTAACTATTTCGCGATAGGTAGATGTGAGGTTGCCAACTGCGCTCCATCCTCCAACCTCCATCCTCCAAGTGCTCCAAGGTTCGTCATTTTTTGTGCGCTTCTTAGCTTCCCCGGCCCTGGATGTGCCAGCATGTGCGGTTGCTGACTGCACTCCAAGTGCTCCCCGTCCCCCCGGACCAGGAAGCGACTTTCGCCTTCACCTTTCTTCTACTCTAAACAACGAAAGACTCCACTCGATCTCTCAAAAGACAGCTCATGCGGCTCCGTTGGGGCTCACGCGGCCGTCCGCCTGCGCACCCTCCTCACGCCGAGGCTGGCCAGCGCCTCGTCGCACCTCTCCGCCTGCCTCTCCACCCCCTCCTCCGCCGTCTCTCGAGCGAGCGCCTGCAGCGCCGCAACGCCGCCGACCCGGTGCCACTGCTCAGCGCACGCAGACGAGGAGGTTGCGAGACGAAGGAGGGCGTTGATGCTGTCTCTGCGCCAGCCACCTTCCTCGGGCTGGTCCAGCCGCGAGAGGAGCAGCGAGAGGCAAGTGTCGTCAGCCGCGAGGTCGGCGCGGGTGCAAGCCAAGTGCACAAGCGCAATGGCAGCAACGAGTTTGCAGAGATCCGAGGCGCCTGCCTCCTGCGTGAGAAAGGAGAGGACCGCCACACCGCCAGCCTCGACGACACCCTCGTGCGTGCCAGACGCTACCTCAATCATGTTGCCGAGCGCCACCGCGGCACCACCCTTCTGCCTCTCAGTCCCATCGCGAGCCAGCGCGATAAGGACCTCGATGCCGCCGGCCGCTGCGATCGCCACGCTGTTGTCGTCGTTCATAGCGAGGTTCCTCAGCGCTCCCGCCGCTTCCCCCTTCTGCGCCTCCGTCCCGTCGCGAGCCAGCGCGATAAGGACATCAATACCGCCAGCCGCCGCGATCGCCACGCGGTGTTCGTCGTTGCCAGCGAGAATCCTCAGCGCCCCCGCCGCACACGCCTTCTGCCCCTCTATCCCGTCCCGAGCCAGTGACACGAGGACATCGATGCCACTAGCCGCAACAATCGCCGCCTTGTTGTCGTCGTTCATAGAGAGGTTGCACAGCGCCCCCGCCGCTTCCTCCTTCTGCCCCTCAGTCCCGTCCCGAGCCAGTGACACGAGGACCTCGATGCCGCCGGCCGCAGCAATCGCCTCCTTGTTGTCGTCGTTGACAGCGAGGTTCGCCAGCGCCCCCGCCGCACGCTCCTTCTGCGCCTCACTCCCGTCGCGAGCCAGCGACACGAGGACCTCAACTCCGCCGGCCGCAGCGATCGCCACGCTGCTCTCACCGTCCTCGGAAAGAAGAAGGAGCGTTGCCGCGACGTCCACCTTCTCGTCCTCGTCTCCAACCTGCAAGAGACCGACGAGCGCGTCCACCCGCCTGCTGCCGGCCTCCTCTCCCGACAGCCGCTTGAGCTCTCCGAGCGCAGCGGCGCGCAGCTCCGAGGAGGCATCGCCAGCGGTCTCCACCAGCCGCGCGAAGGCACCGCGCGGCGCGCAGATCAGGGACCACCGCTTGCACACGGCCGCGTGGCGCAGGCCCGTCTTCTCGAGCACGCACGGCGCAAGGTCTGGGTCCGCGAGGACGTCGGTCGCGACGGCGGGCGGAGGGCTGTGGTGCGCGAGGAGCGCCTCGGCCCTCCTGTTTGCAGCGGGGCTGTCCCGCATGGCGCCGGCGGCGATCGCGATCAGGGCATCGGGCGGAAGAGCGGCGAGCCGCAGCTCGTAGCGGGCGCAGGCGAGCATTTGTCTCGATTTCTTTCTTTCTTCGTTTCCACGAAGCCGCTTTTGAGAGAGAGAGATTTTTGAAGACCAACAAGAAATCTTCTTCCCGCTTTTGTGGCCTTCACATACTTTGAAATTGCCCCACAGTCAAAAGAAACCAAGCCACCAATAAAACCTGTCTTGGTTTGCCAACAACATACCTAAAACCAATAAAACCAGAACTCTAACACTCACACGTAATTTGGTTCTGGAGCCCTGTTCACGCGCGCGCGAGACGTGCAGTCTATCCCCAAATGTACGAACTTATAGCTTACTGAAAAAAAAATCTAACATATAATGTCACACACACACAAACAAAGGTAAAGTGATTTCTTTTTGGTTAATAAAAATCTCTCTCTCAAACAAACAAAACACAAAACACACACACACACACACACACACACACACACACACACACACACACACACACACACACACACACACACACACACACACACACACACACACACACACAACTCCTTGCCCCCACACCCTCCCACCCTCCCACCCTCCCTCCCTCCCTCACACCCGGCGCCTCACGCCATGAGTTATGAGGCGGCGCCGTGGTGAGCACATCATGAGTTTCAGGGTTCATAGCTCAGTTGGGAGAGCGTTAGACCGAAGATCTAAAGGTCTCCGGTTCGATCCCGGATGAGCCCATCGCACTTCAACGCAGTTTGTGCTTTTTGTGTTTTTTGCAACTCTACCGCGCTTTGTGCTTTTTGTGTTTTTTGCAACTCTACCGCGCTTTTCTTTCTGGTGTCGTCGGACGAGTGCAACTCTATGGTGAGCTTTTCCTTCTGGTGTCGTCGTCGGACGAGTTCAAACGCGAGGCGACCATCGTCACCGCCGCCGCCCTCCCGAACCTGCCCTCGCCTCGGGAGGGCGGCGGCGGCGGTGTAGGGGTGGCGGCGAGCTCCCCGGTTGCAAATACTCGCCTCACGGTCCAAGATGTGGCGGCTCACACGCCCAACCATGCTCTGGTGCGTCCTGAGGGAGGGTGTGTAGAGGATGTAGAGTGTAGAGCGCTGTAGAGCTGTAGAGCTGTAGAGCGCTGGAGAGCGCTGGAGAGCGCTGTAGAGCTGTAGAGCTCTACATCCGCCGCGGGACGATGTGAGTCCGATGTAGAGCGATGTAGAGCGCGATTTTGCTGTAGAGTTGGTTGTAGAGGCTCTACAGCCAAACCGCCGGGAAGGCAGTGACTCAAAGAGGTCGAGCCGCGCTAATGGGGTGTCTCCGAGCTTACTGGAGCTCTGATGGACGGCCCTGACTATCCCTGACACACAGAGAGTCACTCTGACGGCACACAACACCCTACAACTGCGTCATCACCAGCCTGCCATGCGTCGCCGGTGCCGCATTCGTCGCTGTGCTTCTTTAGCAGGCGGTGGACTGTCGGCTGCGAGGACGGCCGCATTTGCGCGAGGCGAGGCGAGCATTCAGACGCGTTGCATACGCCATGCCTCGCGCCAGTGCGTGCGGGAGCTCCTGGCTGAGCGTTGAGTCCAAGCGAGTTGCGCTGGCCACGATCGCTACGCCGAGCCGAGCTGACGTGCCGAGGCGCCGGCCAGTCGCAGCCGTGAGGCATGCCACAGCAGCAGAGGCACCTGCCACCCATTGGGCGGGCAGACAGAAGGCCAGGGCAGCACTGGCAAGTGCAACGCGCCTCATGTCGGAGAGCGACCGTGCCTCGTTCGCCGCTTATGATGTAGAGTTTGTTGTAGAGATTTCACGTTGTAGAGCGCCTCTACATCGCTCTACATCACATCGCTCTACATCGGACTCACATCGTCCCGCGGCGGATGTAGAGCTCTACAGCGCTCCAGAGCGCTCTACATCTCTACAGCTCTACAGCGCTCTACACTCTACATCCTCTCTACACCCTCCCTCAGGGTGCGTCGATTGGGTCGCGTCTGCTGCCCGTGTCTCTGTCTTATCGGTGCGACGACAACAAGCTACCCCTACCCCTAACCCTACCCCTAACCCTACCCCTAACCCTAACCCTATCCCTAACCCTGCTAACCCTAACCCTAACCCGAAGAACTCGGAGCGTTCACCGAGAGCTCGCGTCAACGCGCGGCGGGCGCCCGCGCGTGCGCGTAGTGCTGCGTAGTGCCGCGTAGTGCTGCGTAGTGCCGCGTAGTGCCGCGTGCGCGCACGTGCACGTGCGCGTGCGCGCGCGTGCGCGGCGTGCGCGCGGCGTGCGCGGGCGTGCGCGCGCGTGTGCGGCGTGCGCGGGCGTGCGCGCGCGTGCGCGGCATGCGCGGCCAGGGCGTAGGCAAGTGCCTGAGGGTATGGGGGTGGGCGCCACCCTGGGGCTACCCATTAGCATCGTCGGCTCAGTGATGGGTATCCTCACGAGCGCCGGAGAGCAGCGACAACTTTGGCGTCGAGTGCTGTGCCCGAAGGTGGGTGTGCAAAGCTTCTGGGTGGGTCTGGAGAGGGGCCATTTTCGTGTGCTTGCTCGTACATAGGCTACGCTGGAGTGCCGCAACGCCAAGCGGTCGACGGCACGCTCTCCGTCGACAACGCCTCCTTTGCCCCTCCTTGCGATAGGCAGCGGGCTCGTCGCAAAGATGCTCCTCTCCCATGACATGCGGTACACCGCCACAGGCATCACTGAGCGTGACGACCGCTGCGGCACGCGACCGTCTGGCGAGCTGCGCTCGCCCACGCCGGCAGCAGCAGCTACGGCTTTGAGATCTCGTCTACACACTGACAGCGATGCATGTGGAATTCACCAAATTTCTTGTTATGTGATAGGAACGAGTGTATCGCTTTGACGGGTCGACCGTACTTGTTATCAAGACTGATATGACGCACACAGTGACACATCAGACGACACACATTCTCCCACCCGCCGGGTCGCAAAACGCTCTCGACGAGAGCCACAAGAAGGCGTCCGCACAGCAAGCCGCTCGTCGGACAGGCGTGCTCGCTCGATGCCGGCGAGCGCATGGCGCACGCCTTGGACGGTGGCGAAGCCAAAAACACCGGCAGTGGCCGTCCGCTGGCGTGAGCGGCGGCGGTCGAGACCTCACCCTTCGCGCCGACGACCCAACCTTACGCGGAACAACCCAACCCAACCTAACAACCCAACCCAAAAAGCTCGATTCTCCTGTTGGGCCCTCACGCTCTACCGCCGCTCCTGCTTATGGCGAATATTCCACGTCGATGTTTACAATCTATAGCGCCGGTCGGCTCAACTTGCTTGGGCAGCCAGGATCACCGTCGGCGAGAGCAGCTGCGAGCGACACCACGTCGAGCCTCGCGACGCTTTCTTCCGTGGCCGCCGCCCCCGGCGAGACAGCGCAGGCGGGTGGGGTGCGGCGGAGGCCGAGGCGTGCGCCAGCCGCGCTCGAGACCAGCAGGCGGCCTGGGAGGGCGCTCACACGCCGCGACGATCTCGGGCGAAGCGAGGCGTCGCGCCAGGTCATTCACGGCATACACATATGCCTCGCAACAAGTCCTCTCCCGCCGACGCCGAGCTAGACTTCGAGGCTTTCGATCTCGAGGGCACGGGCGAGAAGGTGAGCGACAAGGAGATCGCCTCCGTCCTCAAGTCGGTGCTGGGCGGGGCTCCGGCGCCCGCACCCAAGAGGAAGCCGCAGCAGGCTGCGCCGCTGCCTTCGAGGCAGCCACAGCAGGCGCCTCAGGCCAAGCCGCAGGCGCATCAGGGCAAGGCCCGGCCCACGGACAAGCTGTCGGAGCGCGCACGGGAGTACGAGACGGCGGCGGTTCATGCAACCCAGAGCGGCGAGACCGAGATGGCGATGCTCTGGCTTCAGCGTGGCAAAGCGCTCCAGGCGGCGGCGGAGGCCCTCCTGTCGCAGTATCCGCACCCAACGGCGGCGGCGGCCGATGCGGGCGGGCCGTCGTCGTCGGCGGGTCCTGCGCCGCCGGCGGCGACGCCGGACGACCCTATTGACGCGGCCGAGGCGTACGCGCGCACCATCGTCTCGCAGCGAGTGCTCGACTGGGAGGTTGGCCTCGCCTCGGCACAGTCGCAGGAGGAGGCGGAGGGCGCCGAGGTGCGAATCGAGGCGCTCGAGACGCGCAGGGCGGTCCTCCTGGCCGAGGAGAGCGCGCTCGCGCCCGAGGCGCTCGTCGCGAGGCTGCAGGTGGCCATCGTCGCGGAGAAGAAGGCGGCGCTGGCACACAAGGCAGCGGCGAGGACGCCCGATGCGATCCACGCCCTGCGCCGAGCAAAGCTGATGACGGAGGAGGTGGAGGCGCTCGGGTGAACGGCGTGAAGTGGGTAAGTCGGAAAGCGCCGCCACGGGACACTCACAGCTTCGCACAAGCCTCGCTCTTTTCGGCGGACGGCGCGCGCCGATCGAGTGTGTGTGGTTGCGCCCTCTGTAAAAGCTGTATCGTGCGAGCCAGGACACACTGAGACCGACACTCGCACGACACTATGTGATTTCAGGACTGCGTGACCACTTCGCACTTCCACTTGCGAGTTGCGTGACGACACCTGCGGCGTGGCGCGGGGTCTGCCGACTGAGCGAGCTCTCTGAGGCGTGTGAGGTGTGAGAGTGACTACAGACTAAAGCCGTACTGACGTAAAGAGACACGTCATGACACATGAGAAAACATGTGTTTGCAAGAGAGCAGAGACCGAGGATCGAGAGAGAGAGGACAGAAGTGTGCAGAGTTAAGTTCGCGCAAAATATGTGCGACCTCCTTCCATCACGCCTCGCACGCTGTTGAAATCGCACCGTCGGCGGCGCCTCACTTGTGCGACTCTGGACAAGCGGTCATTGTGTCGAGGTACACCTTCGCCGTCTCCTCGATGAAACTCGTCGGAAGGCTGGAGGCCATGCCATACAGGCCCGCCGAGCCGCCCTTGTACTTTTCCGGCTCCGATCGCACCTGCCGGCGAAAAGTGGACAAGCCGTGGGCCTCGGGCAAAGCGGCGATTGGGTTGCTGCGGGGAGGGGGCGGGAGAGGGCGCAAGCCGTGGCGACAGCCGCCCGCAGCTCGTCGACGAACCGCGTCGCGTTCTTTGCGGTCGGCAGCGTGACGGCGAGGTGGACGGCGGCCGGGTTTTGCAGCGTCGCGAGCTCCCAGCCGCCAATCTCCTTGAGGCAATCGGCGACGCTGTAGCAATTGAGGCCCGAGCCCTGCTTCGCACCGAACGCGACGACGCACGCGTCCGCGCGGCCAACCAACTCGAGCCCGCCGATCGTCGGGATCGCCTGTGGACGTGCCTCGGACATGTCATGGACGTGTCCTGGACAGAGTCGAGCCGCCGACCGTCGGGATCGCCTCCGCGATGCGGCGCGTCGCGCCGACGATCTGCGCCGTCGACTCGACGTACCCAGCCTCGCCTATGGAGCATGTGTCAGGGACGTGTCATGGACATGTCCGTGTAGCCGTCGGCTCGACGTACCCAGCCTCGCCGTAGCGCATCATCGCCGCCCAAGTCGCCGCGACCACGCCGCCGGGCCGCGAGCCCAGCATCGTCGGCGTGGCGTAGATGCCGCCTGGGAGGGGCGCGGCAGCGTCGAGCGGCGCTGAGCCTCGGTGCCGGTGCCCGGTGGCTGGGCACGAGGGCGAGAGGGCGCGAGGGGCGGCGGCGAGGGGCGAGAGGCGAGGGGCAGGCCGAGGGAGAGGGGCGGAGGGCGTCGCGCCAGTCCACTCGGTGGCAAAAGTGTACATGTGGTGGCGCAGCTCCTTGCTCCGGAACATGAGCACCGACGCCCCCTTTGGCGCGAACCCGTACTTGTGGGGATCGCACGAGATCGTGGTGACGCCGCGCACCTGAGTCTCGGGCGACCTCGCGTGACCTGGAGAGATCTCGCTTGATCTCGCGTGACCTCGGGTCGCACGAGATTGCAGTGACGCACCGTAAAATCGAAGCCGTGCGGCGGCGGCGAGCCCGCGGCCGCCATGAAGGGAACCACAAACCCCCCGAGGCAGCAGTCGACGTGCAGGCCGATCCCGCGCGCCTATGGTACGGCTCCGAGAGGCTCCGAGAAGGCTCCGAGAAGGCTCCGAGAAGGTGCAAGCCGGGCACGCGCACCTCGGCGAGCTCGGCGAGCTCCTAGTGAGATTCCCCGAGGTATAGTGAGATTACCGACGGCGGGCGTGCGACAGCGGGCGCGAGGTTGGGTGGGCGCGCCTCGATCGGGTCGATGGTGCCGGTGGCAAACTGCGGCGCCGAGCCGACGAGGGCGACGGTGTTGGAGTCGATGAGAGAGCGGACATGCGCCACGTCGACGGCCTGCGGGAGGAGGGTTCCGGCAAGGGTCTCTCGGAGGTTCCGGAGAGAGATGCGCCGCCCTCTCGTCGCGCGCGAGGGCGAGACGGCCTGCTCCGGGAAGGTGCAGCGCGCGTGCCGGACCTCGATTCCGAAGTAGTGGCCCGCCTGGGGCAGGCAGCAGGCGGCGAGTTTGGCGCACTCCATGGACGGGTCTCGAAGCCGAGGGCTCGTCTCAGGCCTTGTCAAAGGCGGCGTGAGCCGTCAGCGGAATCACAATGTTCGGCTCGCGCACACCGCGAGTGGCGCTGCCCCAGTCGCGGTACGTCTTCATCGCCTGCGGGGCGCGTCACCGACGCGTCACCGACGCGCGACCCTCTCGGCCTCCCGCCGCGGCGCGTCGTCTCGTCGCCATGAGGATCGACTCGGTCCCTCCCGTCGTGAAGGCTATCTCTCGGCTATCTCTCGCCATGAGGATCGACTCGGTCCCTCCGGTCGTAAAGGCGCCGCACGAGCCAGCCGGGCCACGGTACCTGCAGAGCACCTCCGCCCATGACTCGACGCGACCCGTGGGGCGGGGCGGCGGCGGCGGCGGCGGCGGCGGCGGCGGCGCACATGCGCAGCACCATCGCCACCACCTCTGCGTCCATCTGGCGGGTCGCCGGGTGGAGCGAGGCGTGCAGTGGGTTGAAGAAGGCAAACTGGCCGTACACCTTGCCCACAAAGTCCATGTGCTCCCGCTCGCCGTGGTAGACGGCGCCCGTGATGGTGCCGTCCTCCCAGTACTTGCGGTCCAGCTCGTGCCGCTTCTCCATCAGCTGCAGCAGCTCCGCCTGCGGCGTGCCCTTGGCGGGCAGCTCGAGCCGCGGTGCAGTGAGGTCGCGGAACAGCACGCCCTCCAAGTCGGCCCTCACCTTTGCCTGGCCCTCCTCAAGCTCCTTCCTCACCGGCGGAAGCTGCTTGAGCAGCGGCATGGCGGTCGTAAAGGCCCAGCGGCGCAGGCCGGTCGTCCGCATGATCTGCCGCAGCCGCCGATAGGCACGCGCCGCGCCGAGAAGACCGAGGACGAGCTTAATGACGGACCACTGGTCCAACCGCCGCAGCCGCCGCACCACGACGGCGCGGACGGCGTCGTCGAGCGTGGCCACGAGCGAAGTCATGTGTCGCTAGGCTCGGAACTGAGCGCGGGTGTAGCCTACAAGGTGAAGCAGGCTTCCTGATAAAAGAATTTTCCGCCCACGGGTGTTGTCTATCTCTCCTCCTTAAAGGCGAAAGGGTCTAGATTTGGGGCGCTCGCCGAAGAAGAGTACGACAAAATAGCGCCCGTGATTGCCTGCACGCTACCCGCACTCACGGACTCCATACCCGAAAGAAAGAGAAGGGAGCTCGCGGGAGAGGTGACGAGTGAACTACAGGTAGTGGGGAAGGCAGCCTCGATTGCCATACAGACATGGGTGCGAAACAACGACAAGACCAAGGCACGGGCAGAGGAACGAGAGAAGAATATAGGGTGGATAAAGCGCCTGTTCACGGCATGGAGGGTGAGCCACACCGAACGTACCGAGCGAAGAGCCGAGCGGAAGGAGGACGGGGAAGATGACTCCGAGGAGGACGAACCAGTGGAAATCCAGTTGTCAGATGTCACGATCCATCCGAAGGGGAACCCAGCGCCGGCATCATCCGTAGAGGCACGAGTGTTCGAAGAGAGAGTGGACCTGAGCAACAACATGACCTGTAGGCAAATGATCGGAGTGGGAGTCAGAAATGTTGTCCTTGCGCGAGGGGAGCTCGATAGACTCGAGGGGCCAGGATACGCCGCGAGGAGGACGGAGTTGCGCCGACAGGCGAAAGAAGCCGCGAGAACAAGGGACCGGCAGGTGGCGGCGTCGCAGGACGAGGCAGAAGAGAACAACGCGTCAGAGGAGGAAGTGACAAGGGAGAGAACGACGAGGGTGGGACGACCGCGAGGTGGCATGAAGGTTGCAGCGAGAATCGGCGAGAGACTGCGAAGAGAGATAGGAAGAGGCAGACTCCCTAGGGTGGGCGACGGATAGCGCACCACACACCTCTCCTTAAAATCCCTGTGTGGTGGCGGCGTGCTGTCCTCCCCATCCCTCCCTTGGGTTGTCTGTTTTCTTTCTTTTCTTTTTTTTATCTCTCCAGGAGATGTCTGGTACATACCACATTTATTTATTAAGCCAGATCACACCACGAACAGTCGCGTTGACACAGGAGGCTGCTCAAAAAGCAGTCGTCGCGAATAGTAAACATCTAAACTAACAACAATAACATTCTGCACTCTTTCCAAGCCTCACACGCCTCTCCCACCCAGGCGGCGCCGCAAGCAGTCAAACAGAGTCAGAGAGGGGGTCGCCGACGATGCCATGGGCGGCGGCGAGGGGGTAGCTGCCGATCCACTGGACCAGATCGGCGCCGCGAGAGAATCGAGGTACGCGTCCAGCTCGGTGTTCTCTGCAACCGCTTCCCAATCACGCGCGTCCGCCTCCAGCATATCATCCAGGTGCGTCGCGCTGAAGCCCGATGGCTCCGTGAGCGCGTCGCTCGCGTCGCTCGGATCGCGCCGCTCCGCAACCTCCGCCCCGCGGTAGTAGACGCACCAGTCGTCCTTGCCGGTGCATGATGCGCCGCAGCGCCGGGCGCCGCCCGCCGATGCGCCGGCGCACCAGGCGTGGCGCCGCGCTTCGCCGGCACTGGGTCGGCGCGCCGGGTCCGCCTCAAAGAGGGAGTCGAGGAGGCCGACGACGGCTGCGGGGAGGTCCAGGCCGGACCGCACGAGGCGCAAGTCGAGGTTGGCGGGCGGCTCGTCGGGGTGGGGGAAGGTGCCCGTCAGCAGGGTGAAGAGGACCACCCCACAGGACCACATGTCGGCGGCGAAGCCGTCGTATCCGAGCCCGTCGAGCACTTCTGGGGCGGTGTAGCTCTTGGAGCCGACGCGGTCGCGGAGCGGCATGGAGCGGTCGTAGCCTCCGCCCTGCGCGGGCGGGTACTGGTGCGCGAGCCCAAAGTCGATGAGCCGGATTGGGCCGCCGGAGGTGTCGGCGAAAAGGATGTTCTCCAGCTTTATGTCGCGGTGCGCGACGCCGCGGCTGTGGCAGTGCTCCACCGCGTCGAGAAGCTCGCAAAAGATGCGGCGGACGGTCTGCTCGTCCGGCAGCGGGAAGTATGAGACGCGATCGAAGAGCTCACCACCGAGGCACCGCTCCATGGCAATCGCGTATGTCCCGGCGCAGGTTGAGCCGTGCGCGTAGACACTGATCACGCCCTTGTGGTCGAGCCGGTCGTAGAAGAAGCACTCGCGCCGCCCGGATTCCCCTCCGAGCACCTTGATGGCGACGCGCTCATCGCCCTTTACGCCAAAGCAAGAGCCAAACGAGCCGGTGCCGAGGGTGCGTGAGAAGTCGATCTCGAAGCTAGTGATGTCGCGGCGGCGAGGCTGCTTCTTGATGCCGCTGTGGCTCTTGCCGCTGTTGATTGGCGAGGTGGTCGATCTTGGCTTGTCGCGGTGGTTGATCTTGGCTGGGAAAAGGGAGCGCCTTGCCGTGCAGGGCGACGGGAGAGAGGGCAGGGACGCCATGGTCGTAGCCGGCTTTGAAACGCGAGCGCGACGTCCAGGATGCGTCACGCGCGCGGCGACTTTCTTTTGCCAGGAGGGCTCATTAGGAAGCCCTTCAATCGCCGATATTTAAATGAAACCGAAAGGCGGCGTGACAAATAATCAAACAAACAGAGAGACCAGCACAAACGCCACACTCGGGCCCCCACAGACATCCCACAACACACGACCCGCCGCCGCGCCCGCGCACCGGGCGCGGCCCCGGCCGGGCCGGAGGACAAGAGGGGGAGGGACGGGAGCGGGGC